GGGACGACTGGGGGGTCCCTAGTTCAGATCTGGTGTGGGGTTGACTGGGACAACTGGGGGATCCCCAACTCATCCAGATCCTACTGGTTTAAGGTTGACTGGGCCAACTGGGGGATCTCCAGTTCAGCTCTGGGGTTGGGTTGGCCGGGGACAACTGGGGGGTCTGCAACTCATCCAGATCCTACTGGTTTAAGGTTGACTGGGCCAACTGGGGGATCTCCCGTTCAGCTCTGGTGTAGGGTTGACTGGGGACAACTGGGGGATCTCCAGTTCAGCTCTGGTGTAGGGTTGACTGGGCCAACTGGGGGATCTCCAACTCATCCAGATCCTACTGGTTTAAGGTTGACTGGGCCAACTGGGGGGGGGATCTCCAATAATCCAGCGATAGTGACCTCCTGATTGACTTTGTTGTGTCCCCTCCTCTTGACAGTGACCTCCAAACTCCACTGGAAAGCCTGGAGTTGGCCTTTTGCTACCTCCTTCCTGGTGACTTCACTTTCCTCTCCCAAAGTTTCCACGCTCCATCTTTGAAGAAATTAGATTTGAGCGGCCATGATTTTTCCACAAATCTTCTCCAATCTCTTCAACATCTTTTGAAGGAAACTTCAAGTTCTCTTCTCCACTTGGACCTGATGGAATGTCGACTGACAGACGCTGGGTTAGAGGTTTTGTTACCGGTTCTTGGTCGTTGTTCTCGTCTCCGTTATCTGGGATTTTTTGGTAACCCAATTTCAACATCTGGACTGAAAAATTTCTTGTGGAAAACGATGGTTTTACCAGATTTACGGCTGGTTGTTTATCCGTGTCCTACAGATTGTTACATCCAGGAGTCATCTCCTTCAACTTCCCTGTCCAACCAGGAGGATATGGTGGATGAAGAACTTCTCACCGCGCTCAACGCCGAGTTGTGCCGGATGCTGGTGAGCTCTGGTAGAACCGATGTTGTCTGGACCTCCAGCCTTTGCCAACATGGTGTCCTTGATGACTTCACCTCATAGTTTGGGCAACGTTGGACCTTCACCGCGACACCATCTGGACCTCCAGCCTTTGCCAACATGGTGTCCTTGATGATGTCACCTCGTAGTTTGGGCAACGTTGAACCTTCACCGTGACACCATCTGGACCTCCAGCCTTTGCCAACATGGTGTCCTTGATGATGTCACCTCATAGTTTGGGCAACGTTGGACCTTCACCGCGACACCATCTGGACCTCCAGCCTTTGCCAACATGGTGTCCTTGATTACTTCACCTCGTAGTTTGGGCAACGTTCAACCTTCGCACGCCGCGGCGTCACCAAAACTCACCGAGAGTTGGCGCCGAAACTCTTCCTTCCTCTTAAAATTTGGTGGTTTCTCCTCAACTTCATCCTTTTTTAGTCTGTTTTCCTGTTTTATTGTCACCATGACACCAACATCAGCCCCAACCCAGGGGATTCGGTGTCACCGGGACAGCGCCGTGTCACCAGGA